CCGGGGCTCTGGCCAGCGGCGGCGGCGCTCATCCACATCCGACCAGCAGCAGGCAGCAGGTCATCGCATCCGCGTCTGGTGTAGCGAGACATCTGGAATAAGCCGTGGATGGAATAGACCTAGGATCCTCTCTATGCCTTCCAACCCGAAACGACTGTTCAGTTGCCTTAGTAGCTTTTTTTCAACAGAAAAGTCTCGGATTTTAATTTTTATTATTTTATTTCCTTCTAAGGAGGCGAAGGCAGAGATGCAAAATGGACCGAGTTCGTCAGAAGGAACCGACCCGCATTTTCGAAAAATTGAGCTAAGAAAGAAGGTCTTCGAGTTCCACCAGGGCCATTTACCTACATGCCGCCCATGGGCCGCCTGTATTTTTCCGCCCCCTTCTCATTCGTTTTGAAACATCAGTAAAAACCATCAAATGAACGCGCCAGGGGAGGAGGGGTGCGTAAGACGCGTTTACTGGTGTTGAACACATTTTTCGGGAAAGCTCTGTCAACAATACTACCAAAAGTTCACGGAACTTTGCGCGAAAGTTAAGATTCGTAAACCTATCTCTGTGTGGACAAGGCCTTCCTCTCAAAAGAAATGAACAAAAAAATTATGAAAGAACAAACATGAATGTGGATTAATGATTTTAACTTCCGCCGCCGCGCCACGCAGACCGCACCGAGTTTGGCGCAATGCGTGAAGTATTCAGACAGTCTTGTAGGCGCTATGCGTTTCACGCTGATCACACTGTTTGCCGCAATGCGTGAAGTATTCATGCATTCTTGTAGGCGCTGTCCGTTTCACGCTGACCGCAATGACCGCTCTGTGTTTGATGCAATGCGTGAAGTATTCGTGTAGTCTTGTAGGCGCTATATGTGTTACATGCTGATCGCCGCGCCGAGGGCTTCTGCTTCTCCTTTTCATCTCAAGTCCTCGTCATCATTTCTCTCTAGGTCGCGCCGTTCCAGGCCAAATTGCGTGTTTGGTCTCTCTCTTAATTCGACTAATTAAAGGTGCTTTCTCTTGTATCACTGAAAGAGGACAACATTAGAAATTACTATACTCCTAGGAAATGAGAGATTTTGTCGCCTTCTCTCGTTTGTAATTTTTTTTCTAAATTTGATTTTTTTTATACCTACATTTAAAAAAATCTCAAAATTTGCCGCCCCCTGTAGATTTGCCGCCATGGGCCCTGGCCCATGTGGCCACCCCCTTAACCCGGCCCTGTCGAGTTCCACTAGCGTTATATTTTCTCCTGCCAACATCTAGAAGTCGAAAAAAAGAAATCAGTTTGTGACAAGTGGGTTAAGTTTATTTTCTTCATTTAGCCTTATGCAGAAACAAAACTTCAAACCTCTTTTTCAAGTTTCAACTTAATGTGGGTTGGTTCCTTTCTGATGAGCTCGGTCCAAATGAAACTTCAATAGGTATACTGGAAAGCAGAAGTTCATTTTCCGTGAAATTTCTACGATTTTTCAGGGACTTCTTGTAACTCGCGACAAATTTTCGAGAATTCGTTAAGCAACGACGAAGTTTGACTACTTTGTCTTTGACTTTTCAGGCATTCACCGCTTCACTCGCGGCTTAACGGCAACTGCGGGCTTTAATGCGAGGATCGAAAATAGCAGAGAGCTGTCAATTCTTCGTTTATATGTAGGTACCTGCTACAAAGATGTCTCTAAGGAACAGATAGTTGCGTGGGTGTAGGGTGTGAGTGGGTATTTGCGGTGCTTCAGTTTTAATATCTCGGTGTGCTGAACATGATTTGAGATTTGTAGAGCAACTACAAAAGCTGTCTTTCGAAGTGGGTATACAGGTACTCTAGTGGTAGGTACAAATGAAGAATTGAAGGCTTCCTGTCATTTTAGATGCTCGCAGTAAAGACTGCTGCACATTAGCCTATCACAGGGGTTGGACATGAAATTTTTGACTAAAACTACAAATTTTGATGTTAATTTTTTCATATTATAAATTGTATATGGGATGCGTCTTGAAATAAATACAAGGAAATCAATGGAACCACTTCTAAAAAATTTACGTTTCGTATTAACATCGATATGAGCTGCTAGTGTTTCCACATTTTTTTTGACGCCTCTCCTTGACTCACCGCTAGCGCTGCTGGTGAGGCGGGAAGTGTCTGAAGTCAAAATGCCTTCGCTTCTGCGCGTATGCAACACGGACATCCATAACGCTTGAATAGTTGCATCCAGGTGTTGAAATGAAAGTCGTCCAACTTTGATTATTTTACTTACCTACGCATGTATAATGTGCCAATGAAGTCTATCATTACTGGTTTTTATTGCGACATTGTTAATTTTATGATAAATGAATTGTTTAAATGTATTACAACGTTGCCGGTCCTTGAAATTGCAAAAAATTGGGGCTCTGGGCATGAGTTTCTATACACCCTACTTCAATGATTTGGTGTTCCATGAGATTCGGCGCATTTACTGCAGTTTCCAAAATTCAGGAAAAACAATTTATTTCCCCGCGGAGGGGGGCTTCAGCCCTTCTTCAAAGCATTTTTGAAAAAAAAAAAAATATATCATAGAAGAAAAATCCATATTTTTACCCATGACAACACGCTCGTTTGCAGTCTTGTAGTTAAACCTTGGATCACCATGAATTTATCCGTTTTCGTTTATCCACACTCATGACGACTATCGGAGGGGGGAGGAGGGAGGCTTTTTGGGGATGAAAACGAAAAACATATTTTCCCTTTAATGAAATTTTGAAAGAGTATATCCATTCTTTTCCGATTGAAAACCTAGGAAAAGGGGGGAAAAGAAAAAAATAAGTGAATATATCTCCAAAAATTACATCTAATTTACAATCTTTCAGAACTATCAAAGAAGGGTGCAAGAAATACTGAATCAAGACATAGCCCGGACAGGTGTGCTATCTGACGGCCAGACGCCGAACTAACGTGCGGCTGGCCACTTGTCGCCAGCCAGTCGGCTTCTCTATCGGCAGTCTCGGCAGTTCTCCATCCGAATGCACCTTTCTCTGGTTGCCGTGCGCGGAGTCGTTTTCTGTTCCGTTTCGTGCTGCTCCCTCTCAACACTGCGTGCCCTTTATTTCAACCATCAATGTCAGTTACCGTCTCGACAAACTCGTAATTTCGTGAATTTTTCGTGCCGTTCCGCCAGAGAGAGAGAGTGCAACATCGACCGCAAGTCCGAATTAAATGCGTCCAAGTATATTCGAATCTTGAGTTCGCGCACGTTCGCCTCCGAAACGCGTTTACATTAGCAATGTCGTAACTTTTGTGCAGCGCTCTGTGAAGTATGTGAATCGTTTCCCCCTCGTACCTTCGTAGCTACCATGTAGCCTTTCGCTAATATCATTCGAATTAATCATATCATTCGACCTAAACATATCCTTCGTGAAATCACACGCCTTATTTTTGTTTTGTTGAAACCTCCATTACTTAGTGCATAACCTCTTCCAGTGCAAGTGTTTCGTCTTCGATTCTATGTGAAACCCCATCTTCTGCGGATTACTTACGTTATCAATATCTGTTCTTCTGTGATCTTCGGCAACGTTACTTCATATCAATATTAAGTTTTCTCTTGTCTCCAAATTGTTTTTAAAATGGAGTGTGTGTCGTGTGCCTAGCCTCAAGTCAATGGTGTGACATCCAGGATTTCGCCAGGTCACATCTTTCAACAACAGTAACCCATACTCAGTCTTGAGTTATTTTTTTACGTAATTGGCTGCCAAATGCAAATTCTCATGTTTGATGTTCATGTTCCGCCGAAAACGAACGAGCCTAGCTAAGCGCTTGTGGAGGGCTAGAATCCGAACGACGGAGCATGAATTCATCAAAGACAACATGGGTTGTTGTGCTTTCATTGACGAGCTCAACTTCTGTTCCGATGAAGGCTTGTTACGGAACAGCCTCATCAAACGGCTGAAGGATAATCAGCTCGAAATCCTTGTAAACGCTGTGGAAACACGGGGTGCTAACACATCCTGTGTTCTGTATCCGCGGGAATATGTAGACAATCCTCATTTGATGACCTGTCAGATTTGGAGGTGGCCTGATATCAACCATGTGGATGAAATTAAGCGGCTTCCTTGCTGCGAGTCAGCCAAGGATCTTGTCTACGAATGTATCAACCCGTACCATTTCTCAAGGCTGTGCTACCCTGGTGAGTAACCACTCAGTAAGATCTGCATGTTTATTATATCAATCGCCAATCCAGGAACACAAGGTTCCTCTCGGGTTGAGTGGTTGTAGATCATCTTCGTTCAACTCTTTACCAGGATGATGCAAATCAATAGTGGCCGCGTAGAGTCCTTAAGAAGGCAGTCTTGGGGTAGGGGTGTTCAAACGAATTCTTGCTGGAACGCTATCAGTATCATCTCTTTCCAAAACTGGTGGCAGTACCGACAGTGGCGATGTCATCGTTAATAGCCCGCCATATCGTATTTTTGAGAGCTCGCACTCAATTCATTGTTGCCCCGTGTGTTGGTTTGTCAGAGTACCTGACGCGGCGGCGCGTAAAATAGATGTGCAAATGGCAACAACTTATTTTCATCAGATCCGAAAACCAGATCGCTCTAGGTAAGAGTGCTCTTATCATAACTTTTTCGGTAGCTTACCAGCAATCGATAGGACAACCCTATTTTGGGGTCTAGCGAGGGATAGGTCTTGTCAACAGTCCAAAGAAAAGGATAACTCAAGTTGTGACTACTCCAACAACTGACTCTCAGTAGCTGCTAGTGTTGAATATCTGCTTTCTGAATTCTAAACAGGTGAAGTATGCGTCCAAATCAGGAGTTAATGTGGAAGTACGCATGATCCTGTGGTGTTGCAAGTTGGCACGTGACTGTCGATGTGAATCACAGGTTATCAATAGAAGTTTTACTGAAGAGGTTTAATCAAGGGAGTCCATCAACCACTGATCGATCAAGTTCCTTGAATACCACCAAGCTCTGTCTTAGCTGCCTTGGGTCAAGTGAATGCCTTAACTACTGAAATTAATCGTTACACAAGTTCTGAAGTAACATCTAGGTATATTATTGGAATGGTTACAGTGGGGCTAAGTTTTTATCTGAATATTTGACCATTTAATCTATCAATGAACTGATACTTAACGTAGTGGTGTTGTGTCAAATCTGAAATAGTTGTTGTTGCGACTAGACAGGAAAATATACCCTTGTTAATTCTCAACAACTTTTCATAGATGGGGTCATTGCTGGCGTATGTTTCTTGTGGACTCGCAAATCTTTTAAAACTTCCTCTCTGTATAGTTAGGTGCCTTGAGGTTTTCCGTCCAATTTATTTGTTGACTGGCGTCTGGAGGAAGACGTATGCACTTTGCCTCAACAGACCATTCAAAGAATCTTTTCTTTGTTGGCTCATCGCTAACTTTTTCTTGAGCCTCTTGATTCTACTCCACGAAAATCTTCCGTAAGATTTACCTCCTTGGCTGATCATGAACAAATTTGTCTTGAGCTTCCAACCTGTTTTGCCGTTTTTCCTGATAATTTTGTTAATCTTTAGACTGCACTCACACTGACCTTTTTGATTGTAACAAGAGTTAACGCAATTACTCTACAGTAAAAATGTTAAAAACAGACTGCGCAAGATGTAGATGAGTTGGGGAGAAAAAATGTAGTTTGCAACTCCCTTGCACATGAAGAATACTTTATGTGCAAGTGTGTTATAAAATATATTCTTTGTTTTCAATTTATAAATTTCCTAATAGCTTGCAATGGATGCAGACAAAACTTAATTCACATGGCCCTGTACGATCCATTTTCAATTCCCTGAGTTTTAAAATTTCAGGAAGTTTTATGACACTAAGTAAATCCAACAATTAATTAAAACTTAGTTAGACTAATAAGATAGAAGTTGTGGCCATGGGAAAATGAGAACATACTAAGTAACATGAGACTACGATAGATGTCGTGGCTGTGGAAAAATGAGAACATACTAACATCAAATTTTTTGGAGTCTTCAGCTATAGGTATAACGTGAACCCCCAACGAGAGATAAAATTTTTTCGTTTTTGGACGGTGGCGAATCCCTCTCCCTTCGTCGTTCTGTTTAGAGCATCCTTCTCTAGGAAAAAAGTTGCCTTGAATTTCCCGTCAAGAAGATTTTCTCTGGAACTACGAAAATCATAGCTTGGCTCAAGTATACTTCTGTTTGATTCAAGGAAAATTTCTTCTCGGTGGTCATTTCAAAGGTATTTCTACTTAAATGAAGTAGGTACATTTTCTCCTAGGGGTCCAACTGTTTCCTTTAGCGGGCATTCTCGGGGGGCGGGGGAGAGCACTAGCGAAGTCTTGATTGCGATAGCTACGCTCAGGCAAATACTTCATAAGTAACAAAACCGAATGACATGAATAGTTCTGGTTGTTGAAAATAGCTGCACATCTTGTAGGAAAAGCAAATACCCAAGGCGTTTGGAATTTTGCAAATTCGGACCATGACCGCTGCTCTCATTAGCATAGCTCGCCGATTGGCCGGTTTGCCGCCCTGCAGCTTGTCAGCTTGAGTAAGAACCTGGTCGGTGGTAATTCCCGATTTTCGCCGCACAATGGTCTCAATGACTTCCTGAGTTCACTGTCCTTGTGTTTCAGTGTCACTACTAATAGTTGTTGTTATCTCAATCTCTTTCTCCAGCTGCTTCGATTCGAAGAATTTTCTTATCGAGTAAAGGCCGAAAGATCCTCAAAGAAAAATAATAATTAATTTTCCCCCTTTAGGGTGTCTATAGGTCCGGAAAGTTCGAAAATGGTACTGATTTTTTATGGGCGGTCCGGAAGTACTGAAAAAGTGCGGAATTCCGCAAGAAGGTCCGGAATTTTTTTCATTTTTATGTCACCTTTGTCCCAATTCGAGCGAGAAATTCAAATTTTTGAAATTTTTTGAATTCCGTGAAATGGAGGTACTGAAATAGTACTGAATTTATCTGTGAAGGGAGCAAGAAGTTATCCCAGACTTTCATGAGAAACTTCGGAATTTGATTCTTGAATTTTTTTTCTAAGTTACGGTTTTGTTGCATCTCCGGTCGGGTCCGTCTGAACACTTCGCCGGGCAAATTTTTTCAAATTCAGTTAGGATTGCTTGACCAATCGCTCAAATCTTCGATCATGAGCCATCGTTCAGCGAATCTGAGCGTCGACTCCGTGAGTTCCGTGAGCAAGTTTTTCACTATAGGGCAACTATCAGTGTGGGGTATTTCAAATGAATGGCTTTAGTGCAAAACCACATATCTTAACTGCGATGTTTCAAAATTCCTGCTCCTGGTTTATATTTTCGAAGAAGAACAGGTCAACCTTGGGGCTCGATATTCTGCCAGAACTGAGGAAAGAAAAGAATGGACAAAAGCCTGCATGCATCGATCATCAGTCGGTTTATTGGATAGCTTGTAAATTTCTGTTGAATGGTGCCATTGTCTGATGTGACGAAAGTCCATTCGCTTCTTTCCCCAGTTCTAACGGAATAGAAAAATCAAAGAAATTTTCAAGAAATTATGTCGACAAATTTTTCGAAGGAAGAAATATTTAAATTTTGACAGGAAGTCTGCAATGTCGCAAGCAGAGATACGTGGTTTCGCACTTCGGCCATCGATATTGTCCCCGGTTGTTTGCTAAGGGTGGGGAGAGGGGGGGGGCGCCATGCGTCCACCGGTGCCTGGGTTGGGAGACGCCGCCCGGCCCGGCTGCGCACCTGTTGGACTGGCGCGGCGCTGCGGCAGTATTTATGCCCTGTCAGTGACGTCATCATTACATGCACGGACCGAGTAATCGTGCAACCGAACATTTTCCCCCCCATCCAGCCTCCTCGCGGAAATTGTCCGTCAAGCGAACTTATGGCATTGTCGGGCGAACCGCGGCTCAGTGGATCAAGTCAATAAGGAAGGTCGGACAAGATTTGGAAACTTCAAACGCTTATAACTCCGTTTATAAAAAACTTTGAGGTTCTAAAAGTGGTTTCATTAGTGTCCTCGTAAAATTTTCTTCTTCCATCACCCCTTGAATTTTAAAATGGGCCGAAATAAACATCAAAATTTGGAGTTCAGTCATTTTCATGTCCGACCTCTCCAATTGACTCGATCCACTGTGCGCAGGTCCGCCGGAGAGTCCTGTGGGCTGATCATTTAGATTGATAGACACAGCGATGGACAAAAGGGAAACGGAGCGGTTGAAAGTTGTAAACTAAGGGGGAAAACTATGAACTCTCGTCGTGCCAAGGGAGAACACCCCATGAGCCTGTGTGTCCTCTAAAAAATTGGCAGTAGATTGTTTAACCCTAAATTCCCTTAAAAATTCTTATTTTATCAGATAAAAATTTGGCAACGTATAAAGACCCTTGTTTTTCCTTGACAGTGTACCCGTACCCCGTGGCCGCTAACTGGCCCTTTTGAGGAAATTCAGCTGGGGTGGGCCCCATAATGGCCCTTATCGTTACTCCTCCATCCTAAAAATGAATGTTTCTTTGAAGGGGTAGGAGGCGTATGGAAAATGACCATTTTTGGGCTCATTCCAGCCGATTTTCTGTTCATCGAATGTCTATATTTTCCGAAACTCCTCATGATTTGGTCATTTCCGGTATCTTACCAGGTCTAACGCTTGCTTTAACACGGGATTGTGATAAGAAGAAACGGTTTTTTTGGCATTCAACCGCGAACCCGCATTTTTCGCCCAAATCAGCCCTCAAACCCATGTCTAGGCCAATGTTAGATCCAACGAGAGATTGATAATGACCAAAAAACGAAGCACTGCGCAAGAAATAGATCTTCATCTAGCATAATCGCTGGGAACGCCGCGGAAAAACGCCGTATTAACACCCTGAATTCGTGTCGAGGAGGGGCACCGACGAGGGCCGTTTTTTTGCCCACCCCAGCTGAATTTGCTGAAAAACGGCCCTTATCTGTATCATTTCTTCGGGCGCATCCGGGATGTTGATCGGCGTTTTTCCAGAGCCCGGGAGTAGAGGCCGGAGCCGGCTTTGGCATGCTCCGGCTGTGGGACGAGGAAGCCGGTCTCCCTGTCTTCACCGCAGCGCCACGGCCTGGCCGCGCCGCACAGTGGATCGAGTCAATTGGACATGAAATCGTTGACTAAAACTGCACATTTTGGTGTTTCTTTCGTCACATTTTAAATTTCAAGGAGTGCTACTACAAGAAAATTTCACAAGGAAACCATTCTTAGAACCTCACCGTCTTTTATCAACGGAGTTTTGAGAGTTGAAAGTTTCCAAATTTTGTCCGACCTCTCGTATTGACTCGATCCACCGTGCGCCGCGCTCCAGGACGGCTGCGGCAGGCGAGGCGGCGGCTGGTCCCGCTCGCTGGCTCTTGCCTCTTGCGGCGGTGGCGGCTGGCGCATGGCGGCTCCGGACCGTGGGGTCTCTCAATGGCGCCATGTAATTGTGCGCGTCTTCGTACCCCGCCCCCTCAACCCGGCGACCGGAGCGGGTTCTCTCTCCCGGCCCCCCGCCTCGCCACCGCACCACCGAGGTTGCCAGGTCGTGCGCTTGAATGCGGATTCGACGTGGGGAAATTGCTGGGTTTTCTAAATATCTGGCAGCGGTGCGCATGCGGCCTGGCCGCTCGGATTCGAACCCGAGCCGCTCTCGCTCACCAGCATCAGATTAGTCTGATTAGCCCCTTCTCTACACTGCCGTCCCAAGGAAAAACGCCGTATGAACATTCGAGAGTTGCCAAATTTCCTACGATAATATATTTATTTTTAAGGGAATCTATGAATTTTTTCTTTAAGATTTGAGAGATCTGTAGATGAATTTGTGAAAAAAATTATCGGAAAAATTGGGAGAAAAATGTTCGTGAGTTTTCTCGAAAATGCGTGTTTCATCAAACGAAATTTGGCAACGCCTGAAGGTTCATACGGTGTTTTTCCTTAGCACGGCAGTATACATCCAGCGAGTCCCACTTTTTAGGGGAATCCAGGCGGTTTTTTCCAGTGACGTGGCGTGCTTTGCGATATACTGATTTATATACCGTTTGAACCTATGGAAAAGAGTAGATGAACACGGCGTTTGCAGCGAACACCTTGATATCGAATCTTTACCATAGCTTCAAGTGAAGACATATCGATAGTCGATCATTCGCTCCTCGCCACTGGTTTTTTTATGAGTGACGGGAAGGGAACCCTGGAGAATTCAGAGGATTTTAAGGTGACTCTATGTCATCTAGGGCAGAGATCCGTCACCACGTTGCGCTGCTACACAGTCTGCGCATCTGATGAGCAATAATTATTTTAATGTTCAAAAAAAGAAATAGGAAAAACTTAATGAATTTGAGAGGAACCCCAATGAGTCAGTATGGGAATGAACACACCGACTGGGAATCTTAAAAATGCTTAATTTTCATACAATTTATTGAAGATATGCGCCTCTGCGGCCTTTAGAGTGTAAGCACGTGTCCTCCGCCAACAAAAAAACTTTTTCTGCGGCCAACTTCGTCCAATTTTTTGTATCTCTTAAAATTTTCCCAAGTTACTGCGTGTATGTTTTCATTCTCGCCGATTCATGCAATAAATACGATTTCAGCACATTATACAGGGTGAATCTAAAGGCCCGTACCGCCCCTCTTAACTTCAAGGATCTTGCTCTTCTTCAGAGAGGTCCTCCTCAAATTTTGAGGGAACTCAAAAGTCACTTTCTTTGACTTAGGAGCACTCACGAAATTTCAAGTCCATCTCAATTTGTAGGGAAGTTACCGGGTTGATGCGTGGTCCTAGCGGCGCGGGACTTTCGGATCACCCTGTATTTACGATGATGGAAAAATTACAAATTTCGAAATTTTCTTCGATTTGCAGCCCAATGAGGCAACGGTGATGAGTGGATCCAAGCGCCGGCACTTGGTAGCGATTAGAATAAGTGTTTTATCGAGCAAAGTGGTCTAGTTTTCCAGTAGATAAGGCTCCGTTTTAAAGGCCCTCAGCCTCCGCGCCGGTCGTGATAGCGGCAGCACTTAAATAGTCGCCGCATTTTAAGGTCGCAGCATTGACCCATTCCGGTGCCAACGAACTCGAAACCCCCCCCCCCCCCCCTAGTGTGGTTTTGGAATCTTCTTCTGGGGCATTTTTGGCTTTCCCTCTCCTCACCTTCTCCCCTTCAGTTTTAAATAGAAGGATCAGAGTGTCTGCAAGTCCAGAAGTAGTACTGATTATTTCAGGGTGGTCCGGAAGTATACTGAAAAAGTGCGGAAATTTCGCACGAAGGTCCGGAATTTTTTTCATTTTTGGCATTTTTGTCGGAATTTGAGCGAGAAATTCAAATTTTTGAAATTTATCGAATTTTGTCAAATGAAGGCACTGGAAAAGTATTGAACTTTCCTGTTGAGGGGGTACCGAATTTCTTGGGGATGTACTGTATAAGTACTGATTTTTGGCCAGCCTGTTTTAGTAGACACCCTAAAAAAGTTTGCAACAACCTCACACCCACGCTAAAAAAGGGGGGGGGG